TCTTCCTCTTGTAGTGTGCAAAAATGGCAAGATTATCAGAAAGATCATCTGCCTTTGAGATGTTGTGTCTGCTTTGAGAAAGAGGAGGCAAAAGAAGGGTTTGCTTTACCATGGAAAGTGGTTTTTTTGTCTTCTTGCTGGAATAAACTGGGATTTGGCCAGTTTTCAGTGACACTGCTTAAACCTCCCAAACTCCACTATAGCTGCTTGTATAACTAGTGTGCTGGTAAATCAGTCTCGGATTTTGTTCTCTGGGATTTGAATTCATTTTAGAAATATTCTTCAGGGTATTTATTACCAAAAACAAATGTGCAGAACTGAAGTGTCCTTACCTGCTTAGTGCCAGAAATTCAGTACTTCTGGGTTTGTATGTCCCACATATTGCTCAAGTGTATGTAGCTCTGCCAAGTGCTGCTCTTCAGCAAACTTTAATTTGAAGGAGGCCAAACTGAAAATCATTTACAATTTAGTGTGATAAATATTCTAAAGTGTGTTGAGAAAATATATCAGACATTTCATAAAATACTGTGAGTTTGTTTTTTTGCATCAGAACTTCATACATTCTCCCAGAACAACCTTTCTGATTTAACTGTTAATTCAGGCAGGAAAATCCCTGATGAAAAAACACAGGACATATAAAAATATGAAGGGAAGAAGTGAGGAGAGCAAGCTCGGAGTGTGCCCTGTCCCTACCATCCCAGTATTTCTCAGGTGCTTTTCTTACTTTCTATTAGTTAGAGATGAGAGTGTAAAAATGGCATTTCTTCAGTGCTACTTTTTGGCTGGTGTAATTGAAATTTCTTTTTCAAATGGTACTTGAAAAGAGATCTGTGTTGCCTGTCAAGAGGGTTTAGGTTTCTCTAACAAGAGCTTTAACAGCAATAACCTTATTTTCTAAAGGTATCTTTATGTATCTACAGAATGTTGCTTTAAGCATTTGGCTGCAAAGGCTCCATCTCTTTCCATCATATTGCCTACATGTATTTTTGTGAAGTAAATTCTGATTTTTATTTATTTTATTTATTTTATTTTA